CTAAACTCCCCTTGTACCCACAGACACCCCCATAAACCCACTGACCCAAACTCACAAAGCAACCCCTGAAGGAGCTGAATATTAAGTGGCACAATTTATAGGATCCCAGAATGGGTTGGGTTGGGAGGGACCTTAAATCCCATCCAGTGCCACCCCCTGTCATGGGACACCTTCCACTGTCCCAGGGTGCTCCAACCCGGCCTTGGCCACTTCCAGGGATGGGGCAGCCCCAGCTTCCCTGGGAAATCCATCCCTGCCTCTCACCGCCCTCACAGGGAAGAATTTCTCCCTAATATCCCACCTAAATCCACCCTCTTCCAGCTGAACTCCTGCCCCTCGGGACTCTGGGATCTCCCTGACAGGAGCAAGCAAAGGGAGCTCCCACTTTCCGGGACAAAACCGTCTCCCAGCGCTCCGAGCGGAGCTGGGAGTGTCTCCTAAGAAATCCTAAGGAATTACCACAGCCCTCAGGACTTCCACGGTGCTTCCCAGCCCTGTGCAAACATTGGCTTCCTAATCACTCCTCGGGGACGAGCCCGTGGAGCGGGGCCACGGCTCATTGAGTAAAACCATCCCCAGCCCACTCCATCCCTTCCCGCTCCCTCGGGGGACGGCTCCGAACGTTCTCCCAGTCCCACGCCAAGCCCAGAGCAGCCAAAATTAAAAAAGCCTGTCCAGAATTCACACTGCTGGGCTCTCCCTGCCCTCCAAACCCACCCTCCAATCCCACTCGGAGACTCCTTCCCTCGAGCCTGGATTTAACAAAGCTGGAAAACCAGGAAGGTGGGAGAGGCGGCGTTTAACGGCACGGCGGGTTTGCAGGGAAGGGCACAACCTCTTGGTGGTGGGAAAAGGCCCCAGGAATGATGAGGATGTTCCCACAACATTCCCACAACGGGCCAATTTATCCCTCTGGCTGTGGGCAGAGGGATCCCCCCGTAACCCTTTCCATCACTGAGCACCCCAAGGGCTCCGTCGGGATCCAGGAGCTCTCCCAGCCCACAGGAGGGGCAGGGTGGGTGCTCCAGGGTGGCTGAATGGAGAAGAGAGGGTGGCAGCAAAAAGCCCCACAACAAACAAACAAACAAGCAAACAAACAAAAAACAACCAGAAAAAATGAATTTTCACACTTGGAGAAATCAGGGAAATTTGGATAACGACGAGAGCCAGCTTGGGAAATTTTTAAGCGTTTCCCCTCTTCCTGCAAGGATGTTCTAATCGGGAAATCGAGGCTGCTCGGTGCCCTTTAGCTCAGCCCCTTTGAAGGGGGAGGTTGAGCACCCAAGAAACGCCCCTAAGTCACTCGTTAACTCTGGGAAATGTTGGACACCAGGGAAGATTCCGCGTTTTTTCCATCACTGACAATCCAAAACAGACCAACCAAGCCCAGCTTGTACAGAGATGATCAAGAAACACACGAAAACTTGCAAAATATTAAAATCAGGGTCATCACAACATTTCATGGTCATTGACAAAGAGATGTACCAGTCACCAAACAAACCCCAAAAGCACCCAAAACCAAAACCATGTGAGATGGGTGGAAGACAAGGAAGTCCTGAGGGATCACACCCAGCTTTCCACCTTCTCCACTCAAAGAACTTCAAGAACCATCAGTGACTTACCATCCTCCTGCAGGTCTGATGGGAGGGATGTCATGGAAGGGGCCAAACTGCAGCTCTGATTTTCGTCAGAACTGTCCTGTCCAAAGCCAGGATCATGCTGATCCTCCCCTAGAAAGAGAAGAGAGCCTGATTTTAGTGGACACGTCCTCCAACCCAAATATTCCTGCCTCTGCTGCGTTTCCTCCCAGCTCCCACCGAAGTTCTCCACAAAGCCCCAAAACACTTTTGTGGGTTTTAAGGGATTTAGGGCCAGATCCATCACTCAGGGCCAAGGCAGTGCATTCCTGCTGCCAGAACACTCCTGCTGGATATGTGCAGCCTCCATTCCTGGAAGGCACACAAGGAAGGAGCTGAAAACACCACTTTTGGGGGCCAAACTATCAGAAGTACATCAAAACTCCTTGTTCTCACTCTCAGCAAATAACCTCCCCATAAATCATCCACGTGTAAAACAGAGCACTGTGCCACCTGCTCCACCAGAATGAATAATCTCCCTGTGTTTTAGGAAAAAAGCTTTGAGATCCTTCATTGAAGAGTGACAGGGATAAAGAGGCTGACTCCGTGCCAGGCAGGCACACACGGATTAACAAAGCCCCACATCTGGGTGTGGAGGCAGGAGCTGCTCCATCCCCACCCTTGGATGGGGCAGGGAATTTTTTTTTGCTGGGGAATTTGCGACTGATATTGGATTTTCTGCAAGAGGCACTTCGAGGCACCGCAGTGACAGATGTTAATAGCAAATTTTAATGTAAACGGAGCCCTGGCCTACCTGGAAAGGAAAACACCACTCACCCCCAAACAAAGTGAAAAGGGGTCTTTTCAAGCTGATGTTTCCTGAGCACACAGAGCCCAGACTGCTGATAGCAGAGGTAAAGACAGCTGCTTGCTCATTCAACACGCACCAAACAGCGAGAAAGGGGAGTTTTCAGCTGATGTTAATTGTGCTCAAACACTAAACCCAAGTTTTATCTCGGCAAACAGAGGAGTTTTAAATCAAGCCCTGATGAAAGGGCACCAGGGGCCTGGCAGGGAGGTTCCAACCCTCTCCCCCCCTTTCCAAGAACCAGAGTGGAGACGCTGTTAAAGCCTCAGCTGCAGAAAGACCCGACGCAATATTTCTGAGCTGGTTTATTTTTAACAACCTGAAGCTCCCTCAGACCCCCCCCAGGCTCCTGCAGTCAAGAAAACTTCCAGTTCCTCGTGCAAAGGAACAACCTGGCTGTGAAGAACATAATGCACAAGATTGTCCTCCCCCAGCTCAGCTCATTCAAGCACAGATCACACGGTGCCAGACACCGGCAGAGCCTCCTTGATACCAAAAGCTCAAAGGTCTTGAAAATCCGATGGGAGATCTGACTTTGGGATTTACCAAAGGCTTTTGGGGGGTCAGTGACACAGCACGGGGGTCCCTGGCAGTCCATCCTTGAAGCCATTACAGCTTCCCCGACAGGGGAAGAGCCCAAGCAGCAATAAAACCCTTTCCCGGCTCTATTCCCACTTTGCCTCCAGCAGCCTCAGGGTGGAACCATCGGATTTCAGAGAAAAAAAGGAAATTCAGAAAATAACTCCTCTCCTTTGGGGAGGTGCCATCGTGCAGCACCATCTGCACTGCTGACTCCTCGTGCCAAGAAGAGGAGCTGAGGGTTCCCTGGCCCCAAAAGGGCAGGCTCCGATCCCTCCCGATGGATCCCACGGGATCCCAGGGATCACCCACCCACACGTTCATTCTGGGCCATGAAGACCAAGCCAAGCACGTTCCTGCGTGCTGCAAGAAACCAAAACTCACACAGGCACCTCCAGGAGGGAAAAAATACCCAGTGAGGGGTTAAAAAGCAGAGACAAAGCCCTGCTCTGCTGAGCAGGCTCCGAGCACATCCCTGAGCGCTCCGATGACCGCCCGACCTTGGCCGAGTCCTCTCGGTGCTCAGCTCAGCTGGGTGTGACAGGGGGATGTTTCTTCCCTGTTTCAGCCCTACAAAAAGGCTCTAATAAAAAGCTGCTACCAAAGGGAAACGGGGGGTTCGTTCCCAGGAGGAGCCTCCCCGTGCTGTGCAACCGGGATGCGCCGGCGCGACCGGACACCTTCCACGAGCCCCTTCAGCCCCTGGAAAAGGACATTTTCTCCCAGCCCGAGCACGCTGTGTTAAAATCCGCTTTTCCAGAGCGGCACGGAGGTAACAGGTGGTCCCTCCTAACGAGATCCAGGTGCAGGATTATGGGGATAACGAGCAAAGTGTTCCCGGGCCCGGCTCGGGGAGCGCCCGGCTCGGGGAGCGCCCGAGCGTGGCTGCACTAAACCACTTGGAACGGGAACAAGGGCCCCCAGCAGCAAAGTTCCTTGCAGGAATCAGTCACAGGAGGACTTACTGTTCTCCTGAACAGCAGGAGAAGCTGCTCCACACACCAAGAGAAGCTGTTCCACACATCAACCACGGAGCCCCAGGTCCCAGAGCAATTCCCACACATGGAATATGCTCGTCCTCATCCCTTGTGCAGGAGGGGAAACCGGGGGGTTCACCCCGATATAACTCACCCATAATCCACCCAAACATAATTCAGCTAGAAAAGAATCAAAATCTATAAAAATCTCCCCATCCAGGGAGCTTTCCAAGCACGGCAAGAGCCGGGACCCTGCGAGCTGCTGCGGCATAAATCAACCCAAACAAAAGTGTTTGCTTCCCTTAGGAATGTTTTCAAACACCACCTCTGAGTCACAAAACAGAAACCAAAGAAAAAAAAAAATTCTGCTGCCTGAAACTAATCCTATGGCTTTTCCATTTGGATTTGCATCACCAGAACTTCTCTGTGCTTTAATCCACTTTCTCCATAAAGTTTATGGAGCAGCAACAGCCAGTTGAGTCCAAGCAGAAAAAAAAATAACCAACAACTTGTCAGGGGCCAAGCTATTGTTCTGATGAAGAAAAAACTCATTAGCTTTTAATGAAAACACAGGGAATAAAAACCAAATAGGCACAGAACCCCGGCAAATAATTACCCTGCACCTGACGCAGCGCTGCTCCATCTTCCTGCTCCAATCCGCAGCAAAATCCCCCGACTTGTCGCTCTTTGGAGCACAAGCAGAACCAAGATTGGCTCTAAGGGAAACAGCGAGAGGTTTCTTGGGCTTAAACCTCATCCAGGGGCTCCCCTGGCACTGTTTGCTGTCCCCCAGGGGGGTTGAAGACCTGGATTTCTTGTTTTGTGGCACAGGAAAGATGAGGTTATCCCATCTTTGAGCTGCCTGGCACTTCCTGCAGCAGCAGGGAAGCTTGAAGGCTTTCTGTGGAATTAACACAGATTTATACTTTTCTTTCATACTTCTCAATTCTGAGCAATTCCAGAGGGGGCAGATGTGTCCCTGGTGTCTCCAGGAGAAGTCCAGTGCCTTTGGACAGGTCACAGAGGCCACACCAGGTCCTGCAGGACCCAGGGAGGTCACCCAGACCTGGCATCAGGCAGAGACAAAACCTCTGGCAGAGCCCTGGCACTGGGGGAGGAAAAAAACACCAAGAGACCAAAAAGAACCTTCTTTGGCACTAACAGGGCTCTGAACAGGGAGAACAGGCAGGACCCACAGGAGGAAGAGTCACCACGAGATTATTTGCAAGTGTCAGGACAAGGGGGAACAGCTTCTCACTGACAGAGGGCAGGGACAGATGGGATATTAAGAAATTCAGGGAAAACTCCTTCCCTGGGAGGGTGGGGAGGCCCTGGCACAGGTTGCCCAGAGGAGCTGTGGCTGCCCCATCCCTGGAAGTGTCCAAGGCCAGGCTGGAGCAACCTGGGAGAGTGGAAGGGGGTGGAACTGGATGAGCTTTAAGGCCCCTTCCACCCCAAACCATTCCATGATTCCATGCTCAGGGAACAGGCTGTTGCTTCTCCTCCACAACCTCAGAGCACCAACCCCGCTCTCTGCAATCCAGGGAATAACCTGCCCCTTCCCTTCCTAGTTGAATCAGGGGCCTGCAGCACTGGGGAGTAAAATTCAAAGCCCTGCCACTGCTCTGGCTGAGCTGCAGGACCTGGAGCTGCAGTTCTGGGGACAAACACCAGAAAAACCCCAGTTCGGGTTCTGGCTTTGCTGGAATTCAGTTGTGCAAAGCCAGAACGTTCCTCCACGCCCATCTCTCCCCTCTGCAGAAGCAGGAGAGGGACAGTCACTCTTTTTTCAAGACTAGAACTTTTCATTGACACCTCAAAAATCAATTTTCCCTGAGACTAAAACATTTTTTCCGTGCACAAACCGGTAAGGAAGTTTTCCTGCCTTTGAGCTGCAGTTGGGTCTCACAGAGGGAGGTGAAAAGATAAAAAAAAAAAAAGTTGAATTAATGCATCCAGGCACACACAGGAAGAGAAACAATTTAAACAGGTGAAAGGGCTTTGTCAGAGAGGAAAAAAAAAAGAAAAAATTCATCTTCAGCAGCTTGTTAAGGGAACTGCAATTAAGCTTAGTTTGCATTCAGTGAAGGTCTTTATCCAGGTACCCAGAGTTTCATTAAGCATCTTTTTAGAGCCTCGGAAAAATCAATACCAGGCGGGTCCCATTTACACTTTTATGATGAGCTCGTCGGTGCCAGAGTGGAAGGAAAATCCCCAACTCCAGTTAATATTCCAGGAAAACAAAAAGTTCCTGCTCTCCAAGTAACGACTCCTCAGCATCAAACGCTCCAAATAAAGGTCCCTGATCCAAATCCCATCTGCCTTCACGCCTGACAGTGTTAATATCTCTTAGATTTTTTTTTTTTTCAGGGACTAATTTAGCAGCAACGCATCTCCCCAAAGCAGAGCTGTAAAAGTATTATCAATACTCGGGGTTTAATGTCCCTTTTCCTACAATCGCTGGCGGAAATTATGGAGGAATCACATGGAAAACGCATCAACAGAGACGCGCCCACCCAGTCAGCACCACTCACATGTAAATATATTATAGTTTAGCTCTTGTAGTGTAGTTAAAGCTCTGTCAACGCTGCTGTTATAAATTATATACCTTTTTAAACGCATTTATGTGCTGGGAAATGTATGATGTTTCTCCTTTTTTTTTTTTTTTCCCCAATGCCTTAAAGGGCTCCGTCGGCTCCCGTTTGGATCCTCGTGGTTAAACCCCCCGG